CATGGAATACTATGCAGCCATAAAAATGGATGAGTTCATGTCCTTTACAGGGACATGGATGAAGGTGGAAACCATCATTCTCAGCAAACTATCCCAAGAACAGAAAACCAAACACTCATGTTCTCACTCATAGGTGAGAATTGAACAATGAGAACACTTGGACACAGGAAGGGTGAACATCACACACTGGGGCCTGTTGTGGGGTGGGGGGAGGTGGGATAGCATTAGGAGATACACCTAATGTAAATGATGAGTTAACGGGAGCAGCACACCAACATGGCACGTGTATACATATGTAACAAACCTGCACATTGTGCACATGTACCCTAGAACCTAAAGTATGGGGAAAAAAAAAACAAAAAGCTAATTAATCCATGCAAAGCACTTTGAAAAATGTCTGGCAAATAGTGTTCGATAATATCAGCTGTTTTTATTATTACTATTTATATGACAATCATATAGTGCCTTATCATTTTTATTATTTTTATTGCTCCAACTTGTGTGTAAATAACTGAAGGGCAAAATGCTCTTTCTTTACCTCTATTGTTTCAAGCACAAGGTGTTACATATAAACAAGTGTTCAATAAGAGTTTTGTTAAAGTTGAGATGTTAAGTCAATATCAGCTTCCTATGGCTGCATTTCTTGCCTTTTGTCAAAAAGTAAATCAGATAACTATACATTCAAATAATTGACACTTATATAAAGGACATCTTTACAAAACTGAGAAGAATTATTACCCACTGAAGATTACTATGTAATATAAGAAGTGCTAATAATTGAAATAAACTGGGCATAGTGGTGGATACCTGTAGTCTCAGCTACTTGGGAGTCTGAGCTACTTGGGAGGTTTGTGTGAGCCGTGGTGCAAGACCTCATCTCCAAAAATAAAATAAAATAAAATAAACATAAAAAATAAAGAAAAGAAGAAAAGCATCTCAAACATTTGAAATAAAATATATAATTCTTATATAATATGGTACTATTTTAGAAATTTGTTTCACAAGCATATGAAAGAAGTTCACAACAACAAATTGATAAATTAATCCAATAAGATATTGTTATTTGGAAATCATTGCATTTATCAAAGAATACTGGCAACAATTTGAAGCTCATGAAAGTGAAAATACAAATATAGCAGCAATATATAAATTCAAAGAAATAAATTCAGTTTCCTTTCTGCCTTAAAAGAATGTGAGGAACATCTTAAATGCATCTCACAACAGAAAATTGAAAAGAAAATTTCATTAAGGCATAAAACAGTAAATATATTACTAATTCGATAATATAGTTTAATAGCTACTGACAAACTGCTATCAATGATACATTACTGAAAGCTTTATGATTAATTTCCAGTATAGCATATCTTTCCCATTTCATAGGCTAACAAAAAACTAAAGTGTTAGCTTTGAAAAGCACTCTTTAAAATTTGACAGCTTCTGGACATTAAGAAAAAGAAAATTTTTCTATATAATTATTACTTCTGTGAAAGTAGGAAAAGAAGAAAACATGTTTGGGGTGGTAGTTTGAGAGGAATGGGCAATTACTTATAAGATAAAGCTTTTTAATAAGTAGTATTTGAATATCATATGTCTATGCAATTAAATTACATAAAATACATAAAAATACAAAGAAACTCATCACCAATGAATATCAAAAGTAGGGAGAACTGTCAGCATTTTCAAAATATTTATTTTTCTGATCTTTAGTGCTCCATAGTTTCACACGTTTAGGTATATATTTATCTTATACTGCTTAGAACTCATGCTTCTTGAATTTACATCTTATTAGTTCTAGATAATTCTTAACCATAAATTTTTGCATATTGCTCTTTTTCACTAAATACCTCCTTCTGAAATGCCTATTAGATGAATGTATGACTTTTCTTCTTGTTACATGAAGTCTATCCTTTATATAACAATATCTTGTCCACATGTGTTATCTTTATCCTGCATTTGGTGTAATTTTCTCATATCTGTCTCCCAGCTCATGTAAAAAAGCATAAACATAAGAGCACAGGTTCTAGCAACGGCATGCTACAGATCAAATCAGAACTCAGCACCTACGAGCTGTGTCACCTTGGACAAAATAACTTGTATTTTGGTTTCCTCATTATTATTATTAGCATAATATTACTAAATATTTTATGGGGTTTTCTGAGAATTAAAAGAGTCAGTATATGTAAAGTGCTCTAACATTTTCTAGTATTGTATCAATATAGTGAGGCTTTAATTTTAATGAATAAATCTTTAATTTCTGAAAGTTTCATGTGTTTTTTCCTCACATTTGAATGTTCTTTTTTTGTGGTGTTTTTATCTTTCATTCCTTTATCTTTGTTCATTCTTATAGCTTCTATTAGATTGCTCTAGTATCTAAAGATTTGACAGTTCTGTCATATTTGCTAAGAGTACTGAATCTTGTCTAGAGTGAATTATTTCTCCATGTGTTTTGTAATTTTGGATGGTGAGTTCATTAGTGGCTAGAGTTGAGAATCTGTTTCTCTTAAGAGGCTGATTTTTGCATTGCTTCTGCTAGGTTTTCTAGTGGTATCATTGGTTTGATAACATTGTGCATTTTAATTGACCAACTTTAGGGGTTTTCTAAACAAAATACATGGGTTGTAATAATTTAAACCTCAATCATTGTTAAAAGCACGCCTATAATGGTAGTGTTCAAATGACTTTTTTTTTCTTACCCCAGGCATGGTTACTTGGGGTAAGAAAAGCAAACATCCTTGCCAACTGTGATGGTTGGCAAGAATTTTTTTTTTTTCCTGGTGTACCCCTAGTATAAAGGATATAGACCTCTGAAATTTCAGGCTCTAGATGGGAGCTCTCATTTCTAACTCACTGTCTTCTTTGGGTCTCTTATCTAAGTAGAGATGTACATCAAAGGTAGAATAGTGTGAGTGGTCTGTGTATGGGGGGGAGAGGACAGTATATTATTGTATTAAAAAAAATAGTAAAACTGATTAAATGTTTGGTCTGCTTTTCATTAGGCCCCTGCACTGGAACATCTAACAATTTCAACGATAAAATTCTTCTCTTACAACAAAAATCTCCTGTTGGTCTAAGTTGTAAGCTACTGCCTGCATCCTGCTTCTATTGATACAGTGCTTCTATTGCTCTACCTTTAGTAACTGGCTGTCCCTGAGTGGGTAAACTTCGTGTTAAAAGTTCCATAAAATGCCCAGAAAAACAACAGTTGTAACTGAGATTCTGTTGTTTTTGTTTGTTTCCTTTTTGTTACTGACATCCAGGAATTAAAATTTCTTTCTTGTGCACTTAACTATGTATTTAAAAAAATGTTTGCTACATTTCCTTCAACATTTCCAGATGTTTGTAAAGAATGGGTGAGTAAGTAGCTTGACTATCAAATTTCTAGAGTTAGAAGCACCCCCACCAGGCTGGGCGTGGTGGCTCACGCTTGTAATCCCAGCACTTTGGGAGGCTGAGGCAGTCGGATTACCTGAAGTCAGGTGTTCAAGACAAGCATGGCCAACATGGTGAAACACCATCTCTACTAAAAACACAAAAATTAGCCGGGCATAGTGGCGCATGCCTGTAATACCAAGTGGTTGGGAGGCTGAGGCAGGAGAATTGCTTAAATCTGCAAGGCAGAGGTTGCAGGGAGCTGAGGTCGCACCACTGCACTCCAGCCTGGGCAACAGAGGAAGCCCCCATATTTTTATACTGCCTAAAATTTAATTATAAAATTGTTAATTACCTTTTCTACTTTGTCTTCAGAACACATCATTTCTATTTGTTTATGGCACTGTTGTTGGTAGAATGATTTAAGTTCATTCTCTTTAAGTAACATTTCCAACTTCAGATATTCTTGTCTAATTTCTTCTCGATTCTGGAACAAGCAGTTCAGGATTTCTTGAAATCTACCAAAATTAAAACACATTACAGAATCTCACTAATTTTGTACAAATCATACAAAGTTTACTTAAAAGAAATGCATAAACAAAGGAATATATGTAATTCACAGAACTACACTCAATGATAAACAGCAAATAGGTAAAAATGACTATTTCCTATTATAAAAGATGTTTAGAAAAAGTTATTAACTTTACTTCTACTACATTAGGTTTTTCTCTTTCTCGCCCAAGGAAGATCATGTTGCTGAAAGATATGGGCATCATAAGGTGTCTGGTATTGCGAACATACTGCATTTTGTCTATGCTTACATCTATATGTAATCCAACCGCTTAACAAAAATAAAATAATTTTTGTTTGTCGGAAAAGGATGACAACCTGGGCGTGCACTATCCAAATTCACAAGGCCCTATCAGCAACACAGCATTATGTGTTGTTTTGGTGTTGGCTCACCGTGAAGGAATAAGCAGTAGGAGGCATAATCATATGGTGCCTCCATGGCCCCCTAGGGAAAGTGACAGAGCCAGTTTTTAGCTTCAGAATTTGTTATAGTGAAAACAGACCATACGGTTAGGTACCCCCTACAGCCTGGCTAAGAATCAACTGACACTTCCAGGACTCAAAACATCCAAGTTTATAATGTGGTAAACCTAGAAAAGCTGCTGCAGTGTGCTTCCTCCTAAGGGCAATATAGGTCTAGAATATCAAAGATGAGGAGTTTGATTCAGATTTCCAAATGGCCATAGACTTCAAGCTGATTAAATTTTATGAAAATTCTGGATAGAACCTGCAATCTTGTATCCTTCTGGGTCAGTAGAACACTGGTCACTGCAATATTTTAATTTTTTAAAGTATATTCATGGTTTTAAGTCATAGATCAGCTCTGAGGTACAATAACAGTATAAACATTCATAACTGTGAAGATTTTAAAATAAAGTAAAATCAAGTACATGCATTTAAAAATAAATGTTCTAAACTGGCCAGAATTTAAGATACACTCATAAAGATCAGTGGTAAAAACACTGCCAATTTACGTCAGTAGTTCTTAATGAAACTCTATTGGGAATGAATATAAGCCACAAAACACTGACTTTACTGCAGTTTTGTCAAACTGATAAATATTTCATAGGAAGTATGTACAGACATTGTGATTTCATTGCATTATATTACACCAATGGTAATGCCAGTAAATGAATTGATAAGTTATCTTTAGGTTACATTTAAAGATCATTTCTGAGTTTTTCTATAACTTTTTATTCAAGGACAAAGTTAAATATTTGTCAATTTTGTGGTCTAGAGTTATTTTAGTTGGTAGTGTTCGCTGATTAGGATGGAAGGAAGGGAATTAGTATCAAAGGTTTCTAGAGAGCTCCTTAACAACAACAAAAAAATTATCATTTTAAAACTGAAAGAGTTCTAAGCAAACATTCAAGTTAAAAGTATCTGCACCAATATTTTTAGGTACTACAAAATGAGTATTAAACTCCACAATTTTCTTGGTATAGTCATAAGTGAAGTTTTATAATTACTCTTTATAAAAGAACAATTGTGTTTTCTTTTTATGATTTCCTTTTGAGAATTACATTTCCAAATAGCTTTGATAGATAGAAAATACTGTAGATTCTTCCTTTTATCTGTTTAAACGTCATAAAAATGTTATAACAAAAGACACTTTGAAAATTCATGGCATTAAAAAAGTCCCAAGTAACAGTATGATAGATACAATAAAGGATATTTCATACATTTATTTCAAAAGGCAGTAATTTTTAGGGGAAATGACAAAGGTTATTTGGTACATAATTTTATCATTACCTTCTTCATAAATACAAGTAACTTACTTAACATATTGCCAGAATTAAAATCAAAGTTTTTATTGTTGGTCAAAAGCCAGGTTGAAATATGAAAAACATCCAAATAAATACTTATTTCATAGCTCAGGCCCTTCCCTCCTGAAAGGAGGGCCTTACCAGAAAGAAAGGTTCAATGATTTAAAGCCATCAACTCCAGAAAAGTTTACTAATCTGTAAGGTTTTAATTGGTATAGACTTGGTTAAGCAGTGCTAAGTAATTTTATGGAATCAGTTACTCCAAATTTGAGAAGCTGGTGAATTCTAATAGATATCCAATTACATGAGGACTGCTCCCACATTTAATCAACAAAATGAAATAACAACAACTAATAATACTATATCAGAGTTAAAAGTTTTCTTTGATGAGATGAAAAACCAGAAATCATTTTTACTTATTTCTTAAGCAATACTGTAAAATATTTTATATAAAACTTCAACACACAAATGCAATTTAAAAAAATTATAGCTGGATCACGTCTGACAGCCACTTTTGACTATAATCTTGTTTTCCTTATAGATACTGAGACACTTTCTACTAATTCTAGAGCTCCAAAACAGTATGAATAATCATCGGTTTAAGTTGTAGTTGGTTTCTCATACTAATAACAGATAATTGGTTCTGGAGAATGTCAAATAAGTTTACCTTTACTCAACTTTAATCAAAGTCGAACAGATTCCTTTACTACAGGTTTTCTCAAAGCCTTTAATAAGCTGATGTACTTTGGAAGGCTCCTAGATTCCTTATGGAGTAATTTGCAAACTTGTTTAATACAGGAATTCCTTATTGTCTTCCTAGAAGTACTCAAAATTAACATCTCAATCCAGTGTCTGAATGGTCAATTTGGAAAACTGTCTTAGCTGCTTGAGGAAAAATTACTTTTGCATACTATATTACTAACTGCTTTGTTTTTAAAAATTTACCTGCTAAGAAGCTTACTAGAAACCTCTCAAAATTCTGTATCGGTTTACATCACTGAAAGATGTTCATTCAAATAATTACCCATTTAGGCTCAATAAGCAGATTAGTTAAGCTATGGAGAGTTAATAAAATGAAGAATAGAGTAGATTTACATGAAATATATAAATAATGATTATGTCAGAAAAGAATAATTATGAGCGCCACTAAAATTAAACTAAGTCTACAGGTGACATAACTGGTTTTGTCTCCACTATCTTATACCTAAGTTCTGGTTTTCTTCAATATCTGTAAAATAAAAACTAAATTTACTTCATCTACAAAGTGTGAAATGTAAAGAGAAATCAATGACTTCTTGAATTCAGTTGAGAATACATATACAGGCATACCTTCTTTTATTGTGCTTTGCATACAATGCTTTTTTGTTTTTTTTTAACAAATTGAAGGTTTGTGGCAATCTTGCTGTGAGCAAGTCTATAAGCATCATTTTTCCTACAGCATGAGCTTACAGTATCACATTTTGGCAATTCTTGAAATATTTTAAACTTTTTCATTATTACATATCTGTTATGGTGATTTGTGACCAGTGATCTTTGATGTTACTATTGTAATTGCTTTAGAATGTCACAAATTGTGCCCATATAAGACAGTAAACTTAAGTATTGTGTGTGCTCTGACTGCTCCACTGACTGGCTGTCTCCCTCCCTCTCCTCAGCCCTCCCTATTCTTTGAAATACATTGAAATTGGGCAAATTAATAACTCTAAAATGACCTCTAAGTGTTCAAGTGAAAGGAAGAGTTAGTTGCATGTCTCTTATTTTAAATCAAAAGCTAGAAATTACTAAGCTTATAAGGAAGGCTTGTACAAAGCCAAGATAGGCTAAAAGCTAAGACTCTTGCACAAAACATTTAGCCAAGTTGTGAATGCAAAGGAAAAATTATTGAAGGAAATTAAAAGTGCTACTCCAGTGAACACACACACTAAGAAAGTGAAACAGCCTTATTGCTGATATGGAAAAAGTTTCAATGGTCTGGATAGATTAAACTAGCAAGAACATTCCTTTAAGTCAAAGCCTAATCCAGAGCAAGCCTTCTAAATCTGTTCAATTCTGCAAAGGCTGAGAGAGGTGAGGAAGTTGCAGAGGAAAACTTTGAAACTAGCAGGTGTTGGTTCATAAAGTTTAAGAAAAAAAGCCTTCTCTAGAACTTAAAAGTCTAGGTAAAGCAGCAAGTGCTGATGTAGAAGTTGCAGCAAGTTATCCAGAAAATTTAGCCAAGATCACTGATGAAGGTGGCTACACTAAACAACAGATTTTCAAGATAGACAAAACAGCCTTTTATTGGAACAATATGCCATCTAGGACCTTCATATCTAGAGAGAAGTAAATACCTACTTTCAAAGTTTTAGAGAACAGGCTGACTTTTTTGTCACGGGCTTTTGCAGCTGGCGACTTTAAGTTGAAGTCAATGTTCATTTACCATTTACAAACATCCTAGGGCCCTTATGAAATATGCTAAATCTAACTCTGCTTGTGCTCTATAAATGGAACAACAAAGCATAGAGGACAGCATATCTGTTTACTGAATATTTTAAGCCCACTGTTGAGACCTATTGCTCAGAAAAAAATATTCCTTTCAAAATACTAATGCTCACTGACAATACACCTGGTCCCTCAGGAGTTCTGATGGAGATGTACGAGAAGATTAATGTTTTCAGGTCTGCTAACTCAACACCCAGTCTGCAGCTCATGGATCATGCAATTTTGACTTTTGTGTCTTCTTATTTAGGAAATACATTTTGTAGGGCTATAACTGCTATAGATTCTTTCTTTCATGGATCGTGCTTCTCTGATGGATCTAGGCAAAATAAATTGAAAAGCTTCTGAAAAGAATTTGCCATTGTAGATGCCATTAAGAACATTTGTGATATGTGTAAGGAGGTCAAAACATCAACATTAATAGGAATTTGGAGGAAGTTGATTCCAATCTTCATGGATAACTATGAGGGGTTCAAGATTTCAGTGAAGAAAGTAACCGCAGATGTGGTATACATGAAAGAGAACTAGAATTAGAAAGTGGAGCCTTCAGGCTTCAGACGTCACATCTTCAGATGTGACTGAATTGCTGCAATCTCATGATTAAACTTGAAGAAATGAAGTGCTGCTTCTATGGATAACCAAAGAAAATGGTTTCTTGAGAAAGTTTGCCACCTACTCCTTATAAAGATGCTATATACGTTGAAATAACAAAGGATTTAGAATATGACATGAATGTAGTTGACAGAGCAGTGGCAAGGTTTGAAAGGACTGTCTCAAAATTTTAAAGAAGTTCTACCATGGGTAAAATGCTATCAAAGAGCATCACATACTACAGATAAATCTCTAATGAAAGGATGAGTCAATCTATGCAGCAAACTTCATTGTTGCCTTATTTTCAGAAATGTCACAGCCACTCCAACTTGCAGCAACCATTACTCTTACTAGTCAGCAGCCATAAACATTGAGGGAAGACCTCCACCCCCAAAAAGATTATGACTTGCTGAAGGTTCAGATTATCATTAGCATGTTTTAGCAATAAAGTATTTTTAAAATTAAAGCAAGGTCATTATCTTTTCAGACATAACGCTATTGCACACTTAATAGACTATAGTGTAGTGTAAACATAATTTTTATATGTAGTGGAAAACCAAAACATTTTTGTGACTCATTTTATTATGATATTTCGTTTATTGCAGTGGTCTGGAGAACTAAATCTGCAATATCTCCGAGTCAAGCTTGTTATGTATGCATGTATGTATGTATATATGAAATTATAAACATACATATGTACGTACATATAAAAGACATAACAAAAGATAATTAACATAAAATATTTAACAAAATTTTAAAACAATAAATTCCTCAAAATTAGATCTTAATGTAATGTTTACCTTTCAATTTCTTTTTCCTGAGGGTTTGAAATCATTAACTTTCCTTTGTCATTTTCATTAGCGAAGGCTTTCTGTTCTTCATAGGCTTTTAATTTTTCTTTTAACAATAAAATCTAGTAGAGAGAAATCACTAGTTAAAATACAAAATAAGTCATTTACATGGCCACAGCCAAATTTTAGCTGTAAAAAATAACTGAGTTAACCAGATTTTAATTTTAACAGAAAAATATGTTAAATTTTTGGACAATTATGATTATAAAATTCTATAAATGAAGAACTGAGCAAGACTAGCATAAAATGTAAACAGACATACCTCTGCCTTCTGCTCATTACAGATCTTTACATATTGAGTTATATGATTATTGACATTAAGAACATTGCTCTTCAACTGTTGAGAGATAGAAATTATGATTGTTTATATAGAGATAATAATCACATAGATAAATACATGAATAAAATGACATTGTATTTTCATTGAGTTCTATGAATTCAGAATTTGTGACAATTATGCTCATGTTTAAAATCTATAACAAGAGGATCTGCTGCTGAGCACATTAATAATGTAAATAAAATTATAAAGAAATTACTTTATTGAGAAAAGGTATTTATAAGCATGTAATCACAAAACAATAAAATTCCCTACTTTCTTTTTCCTTTGACTTCTAAGAAATGCAGAGATAGTTTTTCACGCTACCCTTTCAGGAATTCAATTAGTTTTCACTGAGTTCTTACTATATTTTAACATTTTTATCATAGTATGGGCCCCTTGACATTTATGCTATAGTAGAGAGAATATGAAACATATAAATCCAAATACTTGATATTGAGACCTTGCCTACTTCTCACTTAACCTGACTTAGAATTCTAACTGTTTGATGTTTGGGTTACTCATCTGTAAAGTGGAGCTAAGAATTCATTCCTCAAAGAGCTAGAGTAAGGGCTACATGAAAATCATGTGCTGGAAACCCTTCCATATACCCATATAGTATGATCTTTTACAATTAATTATATAAAGAGCCTGGGAATATTTTTCTTAAGATGACAATAACATGCTCATCTTCAGACACTTAAGGAAAGTGGCAGAGGGGAAAAAGAGGAGGAGTCATCACAACAGCTTAACTCTATGTTTTTTCAACCCTGATATATTATAATTTTAAACATACATGTTTTGATATGCATGTTTTTAAGTACACCACATATTTGGCAAAAATACTAACGTTAACCAATTACTATTATTATATTTCTGGAGAAATACAGAGATTGCTACATCAACATAATGAATGTGGACCATAAATTATGTAGAAAAGACTTTTTTAAAAATAAGCTTTATACCTATGTTACAGATGAAATAATAGGCTTGGAAAGATTAACATATCCAAGATTTTCAGGTAGAAAGTTTTGGTTCTCAGCTAAAGCAGAGCATCATCTTGGGCTGCAACAAATGTGTTAAAGCTTTGACTGATTACTCCAAGGTGTCATCCAAATACAATATGCCATGACATGAAAGAGGTTAGGAAGAAAGCCACTAAAGTACCTAGTACCCAAAAGATCGAATCATAGTATCTACTTTATATATATAATCAAGATGCTTTATACTTTAACTGTACATTAATGTTTGACTAAGCAGGTTAGCAAAGACCCTTCTAACCCTCAGCTGCCTAACTCATTATGTAGAAACATAACTCTAATTAATACTTTCATTAGAATTATAAAAATCATATGCAGCCAATACCTTCAAAACAAAGGCAGAGTAAACAGACTTACAGAAGATTTAATGTCCTTTGCACGGTTAGCATACTTAAGAGTGTTATATGTGTCATCGTAGAATACAGAGGAAGGACTAACAGCAGCTATCATTATAGTTTGACAGTTTCCTCCAAGAGAATCCTTTAACAAGCGAGTAAGCTTACTATTTCTGTAAGGGATATGCTGATTCTTTCTCTGAAAGTACAAAAGAAGAGACCTAATGTCATTTTCCACATTTAAATGCAAACCTGCTACCACTTTTAACTTCACTGTGGGCAGAGGATTACCTAGGTGCCGAGGCAAGAGACTGAAGGCACAAACTGTTTCAGTATAATAAAGAAAATAGTTAGAATAAGAATAGTCATAATACAACTTAGATATAGAGATGATCATGGACAATTATCAATCATTATTATAAACATTATTAATCATTAGCTTTTAATATTACTCTTTGTCGCATTACTAATATAACCTAGGAATAACTGGTGGGTCTAGGGTCAGGTGCTGAAGGGACATTCTGAGAAGTGACCTAGAAGGCAAGAGGTGAGCCTTCTATCACGCCTGCATAAGGGCTGCTTGAGGGCTCCTTGGTCAAGCGGTAGTGCCAGTGTCTGGGAAGACACCCATTACTTAGCAGAACGCGAAAGGGGGTCTCCTTTCCTTGGAGGAGTCAGGGAACATTCTGTTCCACCAGCTTCTTGTGGAAGGGTGGATATTATCCAGGCCTGCCCGCACTCATCCAGAGGCCTAAACCTCTCCCTGTGGTGCTGTGCTTCAATGGTCACGCTCCTTGTCCACTTTCATGTTCCTCCCATACTCCTGGTTCCTATTTGAAGTTCATAGTAGATAGAGATAGAAGAAACAGTGAAAGTCTTAAAGTTCGATCTTTCTTATAAGTGCATAGAAGAAAACACTGACGTATGCTGCCGTCTCTCTGTTTCGGCGAAGAGGGAAGGGCCCCCTGTCCTATGATCACGTGACTTGCTTCACCTTGTCAATCACTTAGAATCACCCTCGTTACCCTGCCCCCTTGTCTTGTATGCAATAAATATTAGCGTGCCCAGCCATTCGGGGCCACTACCAGTCTCCGCATCTTGATGGTAGTGGTCCCCTGGGGCCCAGCTGTTTTCTCTTTATCTCTTTGTCTTGTGTCTTTATTTATTACAATCTCTCCTCTCCGCACATGGGGAGAACATCCGCCAAGTCCCATAGGGCTTGACCCTACAGTTCACTATAAGAACTTAAGCACTACCCAATTTTGTCCAGACTTATAATTTGTGATTGAGGTGATGACAAAGAATCTTACAGGATTATTCAGTGAATATATGAAACAAATATCATACTTAAAAATATCTCCATCTGAGTACGTATGAACTTAGTTCAAAATGAAATAATACATTAACATTGGTTCGTTAGTTGTGATAGATGTACCATATTAATATAAAAAATTAACAATAGGGAAAACCGGGTGTGAAGTATATTTAACAAAATCCTTCTGTATCATCTTAGTAACTTTTCTGTAAATCTAAAACTATTTGAAAATGTCTATTTAAAAATATTTCCAATCATTGAAAAAAATTAAAACACAAAAGTAAACAGATGTCCTATACAAACATACTAGAGGAATAATAAGAACTCTGCATGGCTTAGAGCTACTTCTCTCCTTAAATAACCATCTAATATAGATATGAAATAAATTATAATTACAATGTTGCAGACATTTCTCCTGAAATCACTATAGAGTTCTAAAAGAACCTAAAACTTCAAGATTTTCTTTTACCTAAAAAGAAAGAAGTAGAAGTAACAAATAAGTGTTGCTAAGTTTTGTTTCCAATTTTGAAGTAACAAATAAATTTTCCAGAAAGTAGAACTTTTATATAAAAACAGATTCTTTACAATGTTAAGCTAAAAGTAACCTAATGTTATCCAACATATATCTTTCATATTGCAGAAGAGGAAATTGAAGCTAAGCATAAAGTGAAGTGGTTTGAATAGGGTCACAAAGCTGGTATTCACAGAGCTAGAAATAGGTCCCAGCTCCCCCAATTCTCAGTAGCAATATGCTTTCCACCATAGCAGTCTTTCCCAAACAGTGTGAAATATGCACTGCTGGTGCTATTTTAAGGGATTTTACATGTACAAGACATACATTAAACACTGACTCACAAATAACTCAATAGGAGTCATTATTAAAAAATTAAAGATTAGTTCACATGGCAAAAATCTTATGAATGGCTTAAGTTTACAAAATCTGGGCCGGGCGCGGTGGCTCAAGCCTGTAATCCCAGCACTTTGGGAGGCCGAGACGGGCGGATCACGAGGTCAGGAGATCGAGACCATCCCAACATGGGCTAACATGGTGAAACCCCGTCTCCACTAAAAAGTACAAAAAACTAGCCGGGCGAGGTGGCGGGCGCCTGTAGTCCCAGCTACTCGGGAGGCTGAGGCAGGAGAATGGCGTGAACCCGGGAGGCGGAGCTTGCAGTGAGCTGAGATCCGGCCACTGCACTCCAGCCTGGGCGACAGAGCGAGACTCCATCTCAAAAAAAAAAAAAAAAAAGTTTACAAAATCTGTGTCTATATCATGCTGTCTGATTATAAGTTTGGGATTTTAACTTAGAATATAAAAGACATCTTGCTTTTGCAATCTTCATGTGATTTCAGTAAATTGTCATTTTTTTTTTTTTAAAAAACCTGCTCCAATTCTTTTAATATACTTTATTCTAAACCAAAAGGTAACATTTTGAACAATTTAACAAGCCAAAGCTTTTATATTTTAAGTTCTGGAATACATGTGCAGAACGTGCAGGTTTCTTACACAGGTATACATGTGCCATGGTGGTTTGCTGCACCCATCAACCTGTAATCTACATTAGGTATTTCTCCTATTGCTATCCCTCCCCTAGACCCCACAGTCCCTGACAGGCCCCGCCTGGCGTGTGATGTTCTCATGGTTCAACTCCTACTTATGAGTGAGAACATGCTATGCAGTGTGTGGTTTTCTGTTCCTGTGTTAGTTTGCTGAGAATGATGGTTTCTAGCTTCATCCATGTGCCTGCAAAGGACATGACCTCATCCTTTTTCATGGCTGCATAGCATTGCATGGTGTGTATGTGCCACATTTTCTTTATCCAGTCTATCACTGATGGGCATTTGGGTTGGTTTCAAGTCTTTGCTACTGTGAATAGTGCTGCAATAAACATAGGTGTGCATGTGTCTTTCTAGTAATAATATATAATCCTTTGGGTATATACCCAATAATGGGATGGCTGGGTCAAATGGTATTTCTAGTTCTAGATCCTTGAGGAATCGCCACACTGTCTTCCACAGTGGTTGAACTAGTTTACAGTCCCACCAATAGTGTAAAAGTGTTCCTATTTCTCCACATCCTCTCCAGCATCTGTTGTTTCCTGACTTTTTAATGATCGCCATTTTAACTGGCATGAGATAGTATCTCACTGTGGTTTTGATTTGTATTTCTGTAATGACCAGTGATGAGCTTTTTGAACAGTTTAATAAGCTAAAGCTTTCGAGGATAGTTTAACTTAAATTGCTGTATTATAACTTTTAGAAAGGATGTCATTTTTACAAATATCTATGTTGTGTGTTCTAGGTAAGCACTTCTGGCATATGGCATATGTAAACTATTTTTAAATATGCCCAAAAGCATCTAGTAAACATTATCTTATTAGGTGATTTCATGATGTTTTATAACTTAAACTCCTCTTTAAAAAAACAAAAATCAACAACCTTTAATACTTAACCCTATTTTATATTACATAAAATACCAAACAACAGAATTTAGTTTTTCTAAAATATGGTTAGTTTGTCTTCATGCCAATTTAATTATCATGTTTGCTGTGTAGTGATCATTAAATGATCACTTTAAAAACCAAGTTCAAAGTAAGTGATGAGAATGTACCATAAAATATTAACTATCAATCTGGTATTCATTACTTTCTATTTAACCAATTCTGATTATAAAACTGGAAATTAAAAAAGAAATAAAATCAGTTTTTTTAATACACTAGGTTTTCTGAGGTCTTTGATCTATATATTAACATTACTGATATACTCTTGAAATGTGATATATACCAGATGTTTAAAACAAAATCATATTAAATAGTATCTTTCTTATCTATTTCAATATTTCAAACTATTTAACAAATAGACATATAATGCCTACCTTTGAATCTGCTAAGGCATTGAGGACATTCCCAAGAGCTAAAAGTGATCTATTAATATTCGTGCCTTCTACAAATCGGGTCCCCTTAGCACCGGTAGTACTTGCTCGCTCAGATCCTGCCAGGTCAATGAGTGACATCTTGGCAATATGGACATTTTGATTGATACTTGCTGTTTTGTCTTGTTGTCGCAAATAAATCTTTTTGAAATTACAAAATAGAAAAAAATGAGGATAAGATTTAACAAAACTAAAAGGGAAATACATATTTTAATAGAGCACAAAATCGAAATCATTTTCATTTTAAAAAACAACTGAACAAGGTACAATCTAATTGATACTTAAGAGCACTAGAAGTAATCACTATAGCTGAGAAAAATACAAAAATGAAAAGACTTTCTATATGTGTGCCAGAGGAAAAATAACTCTTGACTTGACAGAGGAGCAAAACTTCCATTTGTATTCTGGTGCCCCTTGAACCAGAACATGGAATCATCAGAGGTGATGGTTAGAAACATAGGTTCTATAGAAATAACATTCCTAAGAAAAAACCAAAGCTACCAGTCAGAATGCCTTGCATTTATCCGGAGATTGCCCCTCAAGACAAGTTGAATTTGAATCTTGATCCAAACTGAAGAGTACATTTATTCTAATACCTCAAACTTGTATATGTCTTAATAATTAAAATATTATATATAAAAAAAGCAGTACAGTCTTGCATCACTTAACAACAGAGCTATGTTCTGTGAAATGCACTGTTAGGTGATTTCCTCATTGTGAAAATATCATAAATCAAATACAAGAGAAAATGATGAAATCAACAGACTTGGTAAACAGAAAGTAGCAGACTGCTTTTGGGGTAATAAGTAGGCGCACACTCTAAAATAATAATAAAAAGTAAATACATAAACCAGTAACACAGTCATTTATTACTAAGTCTTATGTACTGTACATAATTGTATGTACTATATTTTCATATGACTGGCAGTGCAGGTTCACTTACACCAACATCACCATAAACATTTGAGTAATGTGGTACGCCACGACATTATGATGAGTATGACATCACTAGATGAATAGGAACTTTTCAGCTCTGTTGTAATCTTATGGGACCACTATTGTATATGTAGACTGTTGTCGACTGAAATGTCGTTACATGGCACATGACTACAGTAAAGTCTACTTGTCATTTTCAACTGCCTAGTAAAGCATAATTTATTCAAATATTTTAAGCTACTCTGTAAGAATTATCTGAACTACATTAGGTGGCAAACAAAAGATGAGGAAGGTAAGATATTACTTAATTATAAAGCCCATTTATTAAATGTTTTTATAAAGTAGGATCTAAGATATTTCAGAGACATCTCAGTTTCACAGAGAAATATTTCTCTCAAGACTATTAATAGTCAAAGAGTTAGTGGTAAGAACAAAAAAGATAAATGAAATTTTTGTTGACTAGGGACTATATGAATGGTTTGATTGCTTTCAATATGAATTCTTTCAACTATAACAATTTCTTTCTTATAAGATGAATCTCAGATGGCATAATACTAAAAGAAGCTTTATATTATCATTTGGATATTAACAGGACTAGAAACTATAAGAAATAATAGCTATTAACCTATGCTTTAGGTCTTTCTGGAATTGTATTCCTAAGAGGTACTGTGCCAACTGAATCATACTTCCTTAAGGAATGCAATTATTTACATAGTCCTTACGGTGAAATCTTTTAAAGATGAATCAGTATATTCCCAAATTATTAGTTCTATAAGTCTAGATTTATAGAGATAAATTTTACTGTGAATATAACATTATCTATTGGAAAGATTAAATATTTTCAGCAAAAACAAAACAACTTTTATTACTACAACTTTATCCTCCTGTATGTTTACAAAGGTAGAAATTTTCTATTTTTGTTTTAAACATCTCAATTATAAATATTCTTGGTGACAGAAACTTCTCAAAGCTACAAAGTAAGAAAAGTACTGACAAGTGAAGTCTATAGACAGATTTTTTTCACATATATGAAAATGATCATTCATGAATTTAGCTTCATTTATTTTAAATTCAATTTTAAGAGTGATAGTCTAGTGGCCTCTTACTTGGAAAATAGCATGAGAACGAGAAGATGTGGCATTCATATCAGTGGGATGTTGTGTCCTGTTTTTGTTTCCATTATCCAATAAATGTAAAATTTCTTCTGAAGATTTCGGCTGGAGAAGTTGAAGCAGAAGAAAAATTTAAAAATCAGCAATATATCTTTAAATTTTTCAATAATGTTCAGAAACAAAAATATTTAAAGGTGAAAGAAAATGTTTTCTATAAATTCAATCCTATTAAATACTGACTGTGTCTCATGTGCTTAGTATTGTGTGTGTTTATATGAAGAATAAAAGATAAAATCTAGTTTCTCAGGAGCAGAGTCTAGTCTCTATGTTAAATAGAATAATATGACATTAAATGTTCAAGCAGATTTTTGTAAGAAAAGCTCACTCATTGGGGGCCAGGGCGGGCAGATTGCTTGAGCCCTGGAGTTTGAGACAGGCCTGAACAACATGGTGAAATCCCGTTTTCTACAAAAATACAAAAATTAGCCAGTCTCATAGCCCGGTCACAAAATACATACATACATACATACATACATACATACATACATACATATGTAGATTAAAATTTAAAAATGAAATTTAAAAAATGTTTTTAAAAAGCTCACTCAGTATTTTAAAACAAAATAACATTAAAAATATACCCTAATCATTTAAATTCTGCACATCATTAGTTTTTTTTTTTTTTTTCTCAAACAGGACGGAAACTAAGTGCATGGCTGATGAAAATGGCTTAATAGTCACATTTGCTATTCTAACAGGGAAAAAGATGTTTATATACATACCTGGTGTAAAGTAAGTCCATGAACGACTACCCCTTTTTGGGTATCTTCCCGGACAGCAAGTGGCCCTGAATTTACTAAGAGGTCACGAATCTGTTCATTATATACCTTAAAATAAAAAGAACTGCTTTAGTATTGATGTAAGAAAAAAAAAAAAAAGGTGATTACATCACACATACATTGCTGATTTAAAATTATTAGAATTTTATCCTAAAGACAAGCAGCACCTCACTTTTATTCACCTCATACCTTCAATCTCATGTTGCCATTAATTTTCTATCATTCCAGAAAATTGAAGAGTTTGATTACCTAGGTTTGAAACTGAAACTTAAAGTTGGAGTCATTATACCCTCACTCATAATTTCTGCCTTGATGACTATGGCGAAACACAGATAAGTAAGATAGCTGAAGTGCATTTTCTTATTTTCAGGAAATATAAGGAACACACGGCATTGAGAAATTCTGGGAAACTGAAATGCAGGTTGTATGAAGATGGCATGGTTCTTACCGTGGAAAATATTTGTTATTTCACGATGTCCAAGTAGTCTAAACTTTTTAAATTTTGGAGCTTAAATGTTACAGAAAACCCACACTCAAGGACAGGTGGCATTTGTTTCAATTATCCTTCAATTACATTAATTTTGACATATAATTATTAATAAATTTCAAAAGGAGACCCATTTGAATGATGAGGGAACTAAGGTTCTGAGAGGTTAAATGATTTGTCCATGGTCATAAAGGTATTAGCAGAGTAGGAACTGGAGTCTAGACAGCTTCACTCTATTGCATCATACTGAATACACATCTGTATTTTATATCTCTGGTCATTTTTTAAAAAGTAATTTTTATAAGTAACACACATTTCTATGTAGTACTACTGGCCTGATTTTATGAATTTATGAAAGGTTTAAAGTTTATTACTTGCTAACCAAATGAGAATTACAACAATTACTGACAAGATTTAAGAAAAAAAATAACAAAATTTAGTCTCTAAAAAACTATTTGGTGTTATTTCCTTCTGTGTTCTAATAAGTAGCTCATAGTGATAATTCATTGCTGGTACAATTCTTTACAAGGAATGATAGGCATTAGAATGTGATAAACCCTTAAAGTGGTAAAATGATAATATGAAGAAATATTTCTTAATCATATCTTTTTGATGAGCGGCACTTTTCTATTGCTTCCCCTTATCCACTTCAATCATACCAAATCAATAATTAGAATAATTGCCCTCAAGCTGGTCTATGTATGAGGCTCACTTGGGAGCATTTAAAAAACAGAGATGCCGCAGCCACACCCCAGATGTACTAAATTAAAATAGCCAAAATGTGAGGCCTGGGCCTATTTTTAAAAAGATCTATAGGCAATTCTGGTGCATAGCTTGAGTAGAAAACCACATTATACACTGCCTTATCATTAATAATATGAAAGCAGATTAAAAGAAAAAATAAAAATTGTGAAAATAACCAAACTTCAAAATCGTCCCAGTTATAAAAAGGATCTAAGGAAGAAATAATGAATGCTGGCACCCTCTTTTCCTAATTTGAGTTCAGAAAAATTCTTTTCACACTTAACCAAAGAAAATGAGTTTTACTTCTTTTTTATCTGTAAGTTCTAATGAAGAAATTTTTAGCAACATACATGATTTTAATCAATCTTTGGATGAAATTCTCAGTAGGGACCAAACTACAAGATGTTAATAACAGAGAAAATTTCTGGCACCAGAAATAAATAGGCAGTGAAATCAGGGTTTTTATGTTTCTCTACTGGTTTCTGAAACACTATTTGAATGCAAAGTTAGAGTGTCTGCCACTTAGTTACCATTTGTGGACTATTAAGAGGGTAGAAGGCCTCAAAGAATGATGGGGTATTTCAAAAGGACACAAGAGACAACATGAAGAAGCCTCAACTAACCAAATCTTACACAATTTGAACATACAAAAAATGATTACAGAAAGGGATTATAATAAATTGAATAAAGTAAAAATGCAGGAGGCTGATAAAATAAGGGGAAAACTCTTCCTTATAGTAGAAAGTCAATAAAGAAACGTACAAGAAATGATGGAATTTAAAAATCACCACTATCTACCATCATAATAGTAACTGATTCAGTCACCAATCATCAGTGGATGCTAATACCAATACATAAAAGTTTGAGGAGTAAGGAATATTTACATTGTCTACATATATAGCACTTACTAATTGTAAATGGCAAAACAGTATCTTCGAAGTGGAGAAACTCTACAGACATCAGCATAATAAAACTGATCAAAGTTAACATTCCCAGTATGGGGACTAATCAATGGCTTAAGCCTTTTGTGATGCAGTAAGAAGTCGACATCACTTTGCTTGTGTTACTCTCAGTGCATAATCTGAATCTAATCATGACAAATCCAAACTGAGGAATTTTATGGCTGTGTCATAAAAGACAAAACATTACAGATTAAGGAGACTAAAGAGATACAACAACTGAATACAATTTTCTTTTACAATAAACGGTATTAATGAAATAACTAGCAAAATCTCACTAAGATCTAAAGGTAATTATATTGTATCATTGCTAATTTCCTGATTTTGGTACCTATTTAGCAGTTATTTAAAAAAAGTCCTGTTTTTACAAGTTTGCAACCTAGCTCAGAAAGAATGAAATGTATACACACACATAGAAAGCAAATGCAGTAAAATGTTAACATATGGGGGATCTGTGTGAAGGGTATCTGGAAGTTCTTTATACTATTGTTGCAACTTCTCTAAGTCTGAAATTTTGCCAAAAAAAAAAAAAAAAAACTTAACAGAAAAAGATGCATAACAAATATTCAAGACAAAGAATTTTAATGATTTTGTATATTCACCGGAAAACTCTTATGTAATAAAATCATTTGAATGAATCATGTCAATGACTTCTCAAAACTATTGATTAATCTAAATTGCCAACTTACCTCCAGATATGAAACTGCAGTACTACATGTTTTCTCTTCTTTAATCTCATCCATGCATTTGTAAAGGTGTAACATTGTTAGATACATCACTCCAGGTTCATCAGCTGATCCTAGCATAGTGTGGGTCTTCCCAGCGCCAGTGGCACCATAGGCAAGTACTGAGTTTTTAAGAAAGGAATCAAAACTCTATGTTATGACATATAACACTATTATATCTACTATCTAGTGGATAGTTCCATCCGGATATCCTGAACAGTATCTTTAAACCCTACAAATCCAAAATTATAGTCTTATCCTCAAAACCTGTGAATCTTACCAGAAATCTACTCTTACTCCTATATTCTTTATTCTGATAAATGGTATCACTACCCCCGGCCCCCCACTCCAACAACTACTCTTTCAAAGCAATCTTAAAATCTCCCTACAGATTAGTCTTCATCTTCCATCTTCTTTATCCTTTGCAACTTGTAGTCATCTTTATGAAAAAAAAATTGGAATACAATAAACCTTCTTAATTGTTCCAGGTTTGTGTAAGTTCAGATTCCTCACTTTGGAATATTATAAAGCACTCAGAGGGTGCCTGCTTATTTTGCCAGTCTACTGCTTCCTTGCTGTGATCTAGGGATACTTAATTATTCAAAATTCTCAGCATTTGCTGCTCCTTTCTACTCTGCTGTTTTTGTTCTGAGGAGTCCCTCTACTTGATCCAGCTGGAAAACTTCCACCTGCTTCTAAATGCTCAGCACAAATATCATTTTTCTCTGCTTTCCCTCATTGTTCTAGGCAGACACATCCACTCTTTCACTTCAGTCCTCAGTATATGCTGCATATCCACACCCCGCTCTTCTGGCATGTATCACACTGTATTTCCAATTAAGTGCTCCACCAAGGCAGAGGCCATGTATCCTTGGCACCTAACAAATAGCTTGCCACAAAGCAGAGACTCGAATAAATACCAGATAGATGCCATTTATAAGATTCCTTTTTATGTTTTAGGTGAATTACTTTGTTTTCAAGATTCTATTCAGTACAAGAAAGTCATGTGTTTCTTCAAATGTATAAAAAATCCACTCTGTGGGTCAGGCTTGGTGGGTCATCCCTACAAGCCCAGTACTTTGGACAGCTAAGGTCCAAAGGATTGCTTGAGCCCAGGAGTTTGAGACCAGCCTGGGCAACACAGTGAGACCTTGTATCCACAAAAATTTTCAAAAAATTAGCTGAGGACAGTGGCTGATTCCTATAGTCCAGCTATTCAGGAGGCTGAGATGGGAGGATTGCTTAAGTCCAGCAGGTTGAGGCTGCAGTGAGCTGTGATTGCACCAGCGCACTCCAGCCTGGGCAACAGAGCAAGACTCCGTCAAAAAGAACAGAGAAAAATCCACTTTGTGAATTACATATGGTAAACACCCAATACAATAATCAGTTAAGGCAATAACTTCTCATATCATTACTGGTTGAAAATATTTTTATAAATTCAATCTGTCTGCTAAACCAAATGTTAACAAACCATAAAAATACTTTTCAGTAGGAATTAACATGGTGTACGTTTTACTTTGTTCTATTTTATGTAAGTTAGTATATAAGGAAGCTTTAAGACAGCATATTCTTAAGCTGTCTTAAAGGCAGGGTAAGAATATAAAGAAAGCCAAAAAGAAACCAAAAATTCAATAGTAGTTTGATAGAGAGTCTACTTTTTTTCTTGAGTTACGAAATTTTCAAAATCTCTAGAGACATATGAAGTTTCATGAATGAGGAAAAGAATATCTTCTTAAAAATGGGAATCACAGCAGTACCAATCAATAAACCACATTCCATCCTTACTTGACCAAGAGGGTATGTCTTCCATGATAAAACTGAAAGGAATCGGGAAAAGACAGTGAAACATGTTATAGTTGTGAGCTGTCTTGGGGAAAATGTCACTAGTAATTACAAAAATCAGATATTAATAATGGTGTTTAGTGCCTGGTTAGCATTGAGTAACTGGCCATTTTGCATCTTGGGTATCTCTCTCTCTCTCTCTTTTTTTTAAGGAAATCAACGTGGCTTTCTTGAAAGGTGGAAAAAAGCATTAAAGATGCTTCTTGCGCTAACGATGGGCTAAAGGGTATGAGATAATTAACATGGGATCTTAACACTTTTACCTCCTTTCCAATTTTTATTTTAAGTTCGGGGGTACAATGCAGGTTTGTTACATGGGTAAATTGCATGCTGCAGGGTTTAGTGTACAGATTTTTTCATCACTCAGATAAGGAGTGTAGTACTCCATAGGTTGTTTTTTGATCTTTAGTCTCCTCTTATCCTTTACCAACTTAAAACATTTTTATTTCAGTGTGCCATGAAGAAAAACTGCTGCAAAGAAACTGTCAAATGTTCAGAAATGTCTGACTACTCTCCGGGAATAGATAATTACACAGGTAAGCTGTAGGAAAAGTTATAAATACAAATTATCAGAAAACTGATGTTAATTGCAATAAGCATGTGGTTTAATAACATGGGCAACTGAAAGGACAGATGCCTATAGGGGCCACAGTAAGGCCCTGCAAGAGAAAGGTTCACAAATGATATATAAGTTATATATGATAACTAAAATTTCAAAGAAAGTCTATATTTACAGTTCAAGTCTATTGAATTTCTTAAGAATTTTTTGTATACAAGCACCTTAAATTTGATTATATTTAGAAGGTTCAAGTAGATGTCTCTCCTAATGTACAAGTGAAATCAGATAGAGAAATTAAATCCCAAATTGGAACAAATACCTGTGCAATTATATCCATTCAAAAAACTACGAAGAATTGGCTTAGTAGTGTGTTCAAAAACTTCTGACTGAGTTGACGTTTCATCAAAAACAGCATCAAATACAAATTTAAGATCTTTATTTTGTCTCTTTATAACATTTTGATTTGTAGTTTTCTTTCCATGGAAAAAACTGACTTCTTCTTGTTTGGGATCAAAAACTAGGATATGTTTATCCACAACATGAACCACTTTATGAAATCCAGCTGCCTTTTCTTTAGTGTTTTCTGGACGTACACGAACTACTACTTTCATATGGTGGCATAGGTCTTCCTCAGTGACAGACATTGTTGATTATCTTGATTCCTATCTGTATAAATGCTTGAATACTTCTCTGAAATTAAAAAAGAAAATAAAGTTTTAATACCAGTTTTACTTTCATGCAAAGCAACTGGCATGTAGTATTCATTCAAAAAAGATGTTAATAATTCTGTTTCACTCACTTGGTAAACACTGGGGGAAAAAAATATATATATACACACACATAAACACACATAACACACATACACATATATGCAAACATACACACATATGCACTTGACTACCCTAAAACAAACAATTAAATGGCACATACATATACAAAACTATGATAAAAATCTCTTTACCTGAAATATTAGTAAGATATTTGACTTAAACTCAAATACTACAGCTGAACCATATATAATCACAGATATGCTATCCTAAAACACAGATTTGATTTTCACAAGCCCTCCAGCACCATTTTAGCTTAGGTCATTGGAATGAATAGAAAGGGATCTCTCAGAACCATATCAAGGTATGATTGGAGAGCCTTAGCTTGTGAACTATTTTTAGTAAAAGTGATCTTGGCTGCAAGCCCCTTGGCAGTGGAAAGTGATATATCCAGGCTGGTCTCTACCTGTATCTCAGAGGCCCATAGGGTTAATAATAGTTCCAAAGATGCATTCAACTAGCTAGTTCTGGTCTGAAGGTGAAAAAGATGGCATAGACTCCTTGGTGTATTCAGAGACCTAGTCTCTGAATATAGATCCTAGTCTCCGCTTTCTAACTGTGTGCAAGTTTAAGGAATCAATGACAGCAGGTTTAAAAATTACGGTCTAATTTTACGACTGCTTCACATGCAAAGAAGAAAAGTAAACAAAGTAACAAAGATCAACAATTTGGAAGTCTCAACTATCCAGAAAATAATCTAGAATCTGAAGACCCAAAAACCAAAACAAACAAACAAACAAACAAAAAACTACACACAAAAAAACCCAAAACAAAACAAAACACCCCAAAACAACAAGATCTGTTTAAGGACCAAAAGGAGGTGAGAGACTTAGGACGATCCTGCAATCCCACTTCTGAGTATATATCCAAAAGCATTAAAATCAGTATGTTAAAGAGATATTTGCCCTGCCATGTTCACTACAACATTATTCTCAATAACTAAGATATATAAACAATCTAAGTGCCTATCGACAGATGAATAGATTGAAAAAATGTGGTGTATGCACTCAATGGAATACTATTCAGCCTTAAAAAAGAATAAAATTCTGTCATTTGTGACAACATGAATGAATCTAGAGGGCATTATGCTAAGTAAAATAAGCCAGGCAAAAAAAGACAAATGTCACATGATCTCACTTATATGCAGAATCTAAAAATATGAATTCAGAGAAGTAGAGTAATGGTTATCAGTGACTGAGGAGGGTGGAGTGGGTGTTAGAAGGGGAAATATTGGTCAAAGGGTACAAAGTTTCAGTTATACAAGAGGAATACTTTTGGTCATCACAGTAAGGTGACCATGGTTAATTGCTAAGAGTACATTTTAAATGTTCTGACAACAAAAAAATGGTATGTGAGGTGATGGATATGTTAATTAGCCTGATATGCTCATTCCAATATGTACACATGTATCAAAACATTACAGTGCATCCTACAAACTTACACATTTTTGTCATTTATAAATTAAAACAAAAGAGACAAAAATAATAAATTCACCCAAAACAACATTTGAGTAAGGACTTGAAGGAGGTGAGGGAGTTAGTCATACAGATATTGTAGGAAGCGTTTCCCCATAGAGAGAAAGACCCAGGGTGCACTTTATATGTTGGCAAGAACGGAGTGAGCAAAGGCGAGTGTAGTAAGACATGAGATGAGAAATGGAGGCGATTAACAGAACTTTGGCTTGTACTCTGGGTAAGACAAAGAACCACTGGAAGTCGTTTTGAGCACAGGAGTGACAAAATCTATCACTCTCACTGCTATGTAGATAATATAATAGACTAGCCTATTGAAGTAATGTAGAAAAGAGACAACTCTGTCAGCTCAGAATAGGGTAGTGGCAGCAGAGGTGGTAAGTGGTCAGATTGTGGGTGTATTCTGAGGGTAAAGGTGACAGAATTTACTGATAGGTAGATGTAGAGTGAAAGAGAAAGACAGGATTGAAGAATAACTCCAAGGTTTTTGGCCTGAGTATTAGAAGGATAAAGTAGTCACCAACTGAGATGGAAATAAGAAGCAGGGCTTTTTTTTGGCAGGACAGGGGGTGGTGGGAGGCAGGATCAGATCGGGGGTTCAGGTTTGGATAGCTTAAGTCTCAGAGTTTTGACAGACATCCAGGTAGAAATGTCAGGGCAGGTGGAAGTCAAGAAAATAAGAAAATAAAGGCTGTCTTCAGTCTTAATGCAGTATTAAGCTTTAAAAACTTTTGAGAAATCCTAAATCAAGGAGGAAAACAGCGATCTATTGTGTTAAATACTGCTAATAGATCAAGTACTTACTGAGAATAAACCATGGGATTTAGTAACACAGAGGCCATTGAGAAAAGCAATTTTGGGGCAGTGGTGGGGAAAAATCCTGAAAGAAGATTCACAGACAAAGGATATGGAAAGGACTGTTCCAAAGGGAGGAGAAAAATGGTGTGAGTGAACGGGGTGTGTGTGTCAAAAGATGTTTTGTTTGTAGTTTTTTAAATGGGAGAAATAGCAATATTAAAGCTGAAATATGTCACAAAACCACTTAACCATATACTTTTGGACAGAATTCAAATAGGGACAGAATTCAAAGGAATCTAAAAGCAGCAGATGCTAGACATATCTTTGCCTTTTTCGGACTCTGTCTTTAGCCAAAAATAGAATACTGAAAAGGAAGGAATGGTCATTTGGATTCTAACAGTCAGGTCCCAGGTGAATTACTACTTGTTCTTCATCCCTGAGCTTTTGTTGAGCCAAGTCTCACAAAGCACCTACACCTCACTTTTATGACCTTGGACAAATTACTTAACCCCATAAGTCTCAGGTTTCTATTTGTATAAAAGAGATGATAATACTTCAACGTTTGTTGCAAAGGCTAAAAGAGATAAGTATTAAGGTATTCAGTAAATATCAATTCTCCTATCTGCCCCCCTCCTGCTTCTTCTTGCCAAAGAGACTGGGTTCATCTTTGAGTTTTTCTCAATGGGCTTATGACTATCACTTTGGGTAGGCCAATTCTTCCTTGTTTAGAACTGCCCTGTTATAGGGCATTTAGAACTGCTATGTTAGAGGATGTTTAGCATTTATCTCCCCTGTCTACTAAAGGCCAGCAGTGTCCCATATTCCTGTGATACCAGAAACTATCTCCTACACACATTTCTAAAAGCTTTTAGAAATATTCAACAATATTTTAACTTTAATAGATATACTATTTTTAAATGATAGATTAAATATACATAAATAAAAGTGTTAACAAAGTAAACATAAAATATTAAGTGATTATTTCAAAATAAACCTTAGCATCTCGAGGCTGGAGGATATCCCTCCCTAATTAATTAGTTAATTAATTCATGACAACTATTACATGTTGGAGACAGGCAGCCTAGGTTAAAATCCCAGCTCTATGATGTACTGACTGTGATAGTGGATAAGTTACTTAACCTCCTTGTGGCTCAGCTTCTCCATCTGTAAAGTAAGACTAACAACAGTACCTACCCTATAAAGTTGTAAAGATTACACACTTAGAACAATACTTTGTACAGAGTATGAACTACAAGTGTTTGCTATTATTATTTACAGTGTAGTGAGGGAAACAGCTATTAATAAAATAAATACTGACACAAACATGTAAAGGTATAACTGTGACAAGTGCTATTATAGGGAAAAGGTTAACAGTGCTTTATAAGACTATAATGAGGGGATTATTTAAGTAACATTCCAGGGAGAAATATTGGACAATTACCTAAAGGAGTGAGGACTAAGCTGTGATTTTTTATTTTGCCCAAACTCCTACCTAAGGGGTCTGGAGAGTCACGCCCTATAAATAATGGATTTTCATCAGATGCATTTTATTTGACCCTGTATATTGTGAGTTGCTTTTCAATCTGACTCTGGCATAACATTTCGAGACAAGGAAAAAATATTTAACCCCCAAAATGTATTTACTTGCCATGCCTTGAAATTGCCCTCACAGTCTCTTGTGGGAAAAATCCACATTCCATAGAGAATCCCCTTCCTTCTTTGTTTTCCTCTTTTCTTTGCAGATCCAGTAGATAATCAACTAAAAGCCAGGCACCCTTTTAGCTCTGAGGAGAAACATTTTACAACTTGCTCTCTGAAGTTTGCTGAGAGCTTCATCTGCAAAATAAAACTTGGGTCTCCACAATTATCTTTAACCTGAATATTCCTTTCTATCAATCCCAGGTCTTTAGACAAACTCAACCAATTGTCAACCAGAAAATGTTTAAATTTACCTATAGCCTGGAAGCCCCTGCTTTGAGTTGTCCCGCCTTTCTGACCCAAACCAATGTATTTCTTAAATGTATTTGATTGACGTCTCATGCTTCTCTAAAATATATAAAACCATGCTGTACCCCGACCACCTTGCACACATGCTCTTAGGACCTCCTGAGGACTGTGTCATGGGCCATGGTCACTCATATTTGGCTCAGAATAAATCTTTTCAAATATTTTACAGAGTTTGACTCTTTTAGTCAACAGAGTTTAAGTATAATGTCAAATATGTTTGTTTCACAACTAGTTGCATGTTTTAACAAAGACATTGATGTTAATTTTTAAAGTATCATGTATTTCCCTACCTTTTAAAAACAAATAAGTGGATAGAATTTTCTTAATAAAAATGCCTAAGGTCAACAGAATCATCAAATGTAAAAATTAATCTATGTTCAAATATACTTACATCTACAGGAATTAATGAGATCGTTCCTATATTATTATGTGGTGCCTTCTTTGTTTTCTAGGATGGCTAAAAGAAATGAGCATTTAGTTGATTCTGAATAAGGCACACAGAAAGTAAATTCTTTAACCATGTTTAATATGAAGCAGCAAAAGAAAAGCCTAAATATTGTTATCTGCGCAAGAATATGTGGATTCA